GAGTCGTGTTATCACAATCTGAATTCACCCGAAGGCCGTACGTTTCGCGGAGCGTGATATAATTGCATAATCGATCCATCGATCCGACCTAATCATTGTACGCGGCAGACGATCGCGATCGGGTTTCCTCCGGATCTCTCGAATCCCCTCGTAGATCACTGCGCGCCGCTCGCGAGACGATTATTACGGTCTCGCGTTACACCGCTATTTACACACGTTCCTCGGCTCGTTAATAGCGGAGTCGCAGGCCGTGTGCGGAGTTCGCATTAACATACTAAGTGACCCGTCGTCGCTTTTACGCCATTTTTCCCGGGCCTGACGCGGACGAGTGACGGCCCGTCCAACCCGCCTCGCCGTTCCCGGATCTCACGAGACAGTAAATCTGTAACGGAAGACATATGCGCGCCTCCGCGCTAAACCCCCGTGTCGCGAAGCGTGAATTTATGCGATCGCCAGTGGGGGAAAAAACCGCGATCGATCTCGCCTCGAGCGCGAGACTCGCAAAACCTATCTGCGAGAGATACGCGAAATTCATCGCTCCGAGACTCGCCAATTCCGAGCGAATTTCCTCTTAAAAACTTGTCGTTCAAATAAAAATAAAAAAAAATGCGAAATCCAATTTTTTCGAGCCTCTAAATCCCGGAGTCTCTCCGGCGAGATAAATGTTCTTCGCCGCTCCGAATCAAGTGAGATCACTTGATTCTTCGGCCGTTCTCATTTACGGCCGGGGGTGGTAATCAGCGGGCTAAACTTAATTAGGAACCGACCATCAGGGGGTCCGAGCAATTTAACGGACCGAATAATTAATGCGCCACGTGTTCGAGGAGGCTGCAGTGATTCAAGCCGTTTCCGAGGTCGTATCGGACGTAAGTGTTGCGGAATTTATCTCGCCATTACGATCGCAAGCGCCGAGAAAAGCGGAGCAACGTAGTCCGGAAGAAGAACAACATTAAAGCCCCGCCCGTTTTAAAACTCGATCGAGTTTTATCAACGAGATTGGATCTCGGTGCTTATACACATCGGATGCTGCGAGAGCAAGGTGTTACGTTTACGTGCCCGGTA